GCTCTAAAGTTACTCGAGAAGATAATTTGAGAACAATTCTAGAAAAATCAAAATACGTAAAATTGGATTTACTTTTCTGACTAAATTGATTGAAGTTATTTTAGGTCATTTTAGTTATTTTTACATAATTTTTCTTTAATCTGTTCGTAAAATATATTTAAAATATTTTCCATAGTTCCGTAGTTTCAGTCAATTCAATCTTCGTCATCTCTGTTTAGTGAAATAGAGGTTTTAGAAAAGGAAATATCTGACATGCAGTGACTTGGACATAGCAGAAGAAAAGCCCTTACAGGTGGTTGCTTCGTACATTCCAGAGAGTGAGGAATTGTGAGCATGTCAACTGAATCAGGTTTGAATTCTAGCACTGAAATTGAATACGAATTGAAGTATATATCTATTAGAAGACCTCTTTCGGATCAAGAGCTGCTGCAACGCTTACTGGATTCTTCTTCGAACTCAAATCCTCCAAAATTTAAATGTAAGATCCTTATAAGGAGTGAATGCATCGCTTCAAAACAGAGGCTTTTATCTGAAAACGAGTTGCATGCATGTTCAGGTCTCTCATCTTAATTAAACCTTACTCTCTTCATTAACTCTGGGAAGTATTTATTACTCCGTCCGTCCCTTAAAACTTTGTCAAGTTTGACCATCACGGCCGCACGGGGATTAATAAAGTAAAATTGTGTGGTAGAGGTTTGTGCAGAGGAGAGAGAATTGACTCGAACCACAAATTCTTTACTTAAAATGAAAAGTGACAAAATTAGTGGGACATCCAAAAAAGAAAAGTTGACAAAGTTTTAAGGGACGGAGGGAATACCTTCCTACTTTAGAGCATCATATCTTTTTTCTTAATCAATAAAACTATTTTTTCTTGGGAAAATGGAAACTAATAATCCAACCTTTTAGCGCTCTTCTTTCAATAATCCCACCTTTTGATTATTCATGAATAATCCAACCTTTGCACCTCATCTTCATTCACTGGTCCGGGATCGGTTAATGACCTACTATTCCAAGTTATTTTCTTATCTTTGCAAAATATTATCTTTGCGAAAGATGAGATTTATGGTATAATGATTTGCAAAGATAAGAAAATAGCTTGGAATAACAGGGCAACAACCAGTCAGGGACCAGTGAATGAAGATGAGGTGCAAAGATTGGATTATTCATGAATAACCAAAAGGTTGGATTATTGTAAGAGGACCGCTAAAAGGTTGGATTATTAGTTTCCATTTTCCCTTTTTTCTTTTCAAAAAAAGGACGCAAATAATACTAATAACTTATAGAAAGATAAAAATAAGACAAATTCTTTTTGGACAAAAAGTGATTGAAAATGAGATAATTTGACTTTAATGTCCCTAGAACCCTAACCTATCCTCCCAAACTTGGTGATGCCCTCGAACCCAGTAGCTTCAGCCTTTGACATTCCTAGAGACGGAGAAATGACGCACGCACACGCAGAGGTACCGACCTCCTCCACCAACAGAGCAGCAGATCACCGCCGCCGCCTTAGCTTCAATTCCCTGGCTGTCGTCACCACTTTTGCCTTTGCAACCACCTTCACCCTCTTCCTCACCGTGGTCTTCATAGTCGTCATCGCCCTGGCCCTTAGTGTCACCCTATGCCGCTTCTTTTTCTTCTCTTTCTGCTCAACGTCGCCTTAGCAAAGCTCCACATCCGTGACTATGATGCTACGATTGGGGAGTAGCGGGGTTGTTATGGTGTCGCGATACAGGTTACAGGGGCTGATGAGGAGGGGGCAAGGGAGCTGGGGATTGGAGATGAGCCTTGGGAGATGTGGCTGGGGTTGGGGGTGCTGCGGCTGAGGTGTGGGGAGCTAGGGCTGGGACTAGAGATAGGGAGTTGGGGCTTGAGAGGAAGTTTGGGGGTGGGAAGAGCCGGAGGTAGTATGTGGTGTCACCTGGGGCGAGGTCGCGGTGCAAACGAGACAGAGTTGTGGCGGCGGGACTGGGGTGATTTCCAAGTCATGGTGGTGTTACTGGCATTCTAAATGTCACTGTAATTAGGCGGTGGTGGTTATGATGACGGTGGTGACGAAAAGGAGGTTAATGGCTCAAGTATTGGGACTAGGGGCTAAGGTCGATGGCTGGTGGTGGTGCCCGATGGTGGGCGGAGTAACTGTGGCCAGAGGTGTGAGTTCGGAGGTGTCATTGTTGCAGTGATGGTAACCAGGCGACGGCTAGTGGTCACTGCGACGGGTGTCACTGTGGTGAGTGTCTTTGTAACTATAAGATAAAGTAAGTGCAAATAAATTTAAAAAAATTTAGTCACATTTATGCAAATTAAAAAAAAATTGTCAATTATCCCATTTTTAGTACTCCTTCGTTCTGCTAAGATTTTCCGAGTTCCTATTCACTTAGTCAACAGAAATCACTCTTAATCTCTTACTTTATATATCAAATTTGATTCTGATTTTTACGACTTTGTAAAGTTTATAATGTAGTTTCAGAATATATATATATATATTTAAAAAAAAAAAAAGAGAAAAGTGGCAAATAAGCCCTTGAACTAACCAAAAAAGTTCAAATCACCCCTTACATAGGAGGTTTTGTCCGGCCATCTCCATTTGGGGCGGTTCCCGATGAAATTTTTTGTTGCATATTTTTTATCATCTTCTTCATTAAGTCTAGTTTACCCATACCAAACTTCAACTACAAACAAAACCGGGAAGGCAGTCAAATGATTTTCTGAAATATACTGCGTTGTTTAAATGCACAGTTATCTTCAACAATTTATTTGACTGCCTTCTCGATTGAAATTTTATCTCAAATTTGGTATGTGTAAACTAGACTTAATGAAGAAGATGCTCAAACAATCTCATCAAAAAATTCCACTGTGAGCCTCTTCAAATGGCGACGGCCGGACAGAGACTCCTATATGAGGGGTGATTTGCACTTTTTTTGTTAGTTCGAGGGCTTATTTGCCCCTTTTCCCGGACAGAGCCTCTTATATGTGACGGCAGAGCCTCCATTCTTAACTTACATTCTTAGAGTATTTGAGTATAAACAGAGTTATACAATTTAAAAAATGGAGGAAATACTAATGTCTACATATTTGTATATACAGAGTAATTGAGTAAAAGTAGCCAAAAATTCCACATTGGACTATACTTCTTTTATTCCCAAAATAGGAGTAATATATGTCTCTTCTTCCTATTCTACCCCAAATCTATAATTTATAATGGATTTATTTATAAATAACAAAAACCATAGTTTTATTTATAATAAAAACATTAAAAATCAAATTTTTTTATAAATTAATAAAAAAATGGGAAAATATAAAATAAATTTTAAAATTTTAAAAATTAAAAAAAAACATGAAAAATGTATGCGCCTTCAATCGCCGGGAAAAAAAGTCATCTTGTGTAGATAATGTCACATTTCTCTAAAGATGTCATGAATATGACATTTTTACTCTTTGAAATACCTAGTTTTCTTTTCAAAATTGCCATCACCATTCAATGACATTTTCCCTCAACTTGGCAATCTTTTCCATCGATCGGAGGTGGCAGTGTTGGAAGGTGACTGAGGTGGTGGTTGAGGTTTGTATATTTTTTATTTATTTTTTACGGCTATTTTTTTTATTTTAACATTTTTATGATTTATAATGATTATTTAAAAAATCCGAAGGAAGAAGGAAAGAATAGAATAGGAAAAGTTAGTTCTATTTTGAAAATTTAAACTTTAAACTCTATTGTAATTATCCTTTTATTTATTACGCAGTAGTTCTATTTAGGAAAGAGAGATTTACCTAAATAGGACTAAAACTAAGTAAAATTGTAAAAGTAGGACTACTATGTTTTATTTGGCAAAAATAGGACTAAAAAGAGGCAACCTGACAAAACTGCCCTTAATTAAAAAAAAGAAGAAGCCCCTGCAACTCATCGCATCACTCCGCCGACTCTTCAATTCATCGCAGAACATCTCATCCTCCCATGGAAGGCTGCTCCCCCATCGACTGCTTGGCCTCGCATAGCCAACTCCTCCATCGACTGTGTCTTCTTCTTCCTCTCCTGCTTCTTCCTCTTTTGCTTCTTCTTCTAATCCTGTTCAAATTTTTGATCCTCTATTCCCGGCTTCTATCCTCTATTAATTTTGATTAATTTGGAACCTCAAAATGCCATAAATTTCAAGCAATTAGAAAAATATCACTTTTATGACATTGCATTTGTCAAGATGACAGTATGTCATGAAACTGACATTGTTACTCAACAAATTGACACTTTAAATATGTCATTTTTGTTTCGAAAATGTCATGCGAATGACATTATTACTCTTTGAAGATGTCATTTTTTTCTTTGAACTGCCACCTTCGCAAATGTAATGTCATAAAAGTGACATTATTACAAATCAGTGTTGGATTAAACATCAATTATGAAAATTTTCTAAAGTTTTTTAATCTCAAAGTGAAAATGTCATCTTCATAGATGTAATGCCACATAAATGACATTCTTCAAAAAAAATTATTGACAATTTTATGGCATTCTCAGATTCTTGCTTTATAAATAAACCTGAAATCCACAGAACAAGATAACAGAGTACCAGAAAATTGAAGAGGCTGAGAAGAAGAAGAAGAAGAAGAAGAAGAAAAAGAAGAAGAAAAGAAGAGGAAGAAGAAGAAGAGTACATACCTGACTTGAATTGACTGGAAAATTGCAGCAGAGGTCGTCCTTGGCAGAGCTGCGGCAATGCGAGAATCATTGAAGAGTGGCGGCTGGCGTCGAGCAAGCAGCGGCGACGATAGCAGGTCGAGTCGAGGGCGGTTGAGCTGAGTCGCAAGGGGAAATACTCGCAGGTATCACGATCGATGCAGAGGGATTGGGGAAAAGGTGTTTTGGGGATTGGGGGTAAAAATGTAATCAGGAATCCCATTAAAGCAAATTAAAACTTCAAGTCCTATTTTGGAGTTTTAACCATGTTTTAGTCTCATTTAGGATAATTTTACTTTAGGAAAATATCGAAATAATTCGAATCGGTGCAGAGAAATTACACATTTAATTTGTTTTTGACTTTGGAAGTACAGCTGGCCTCACGTAGAAGACCAAGCTAGCTCAGCTAGCATCCACAACAATGCCACATGGCCATCGCATGCATGCATATGTAGTAAACACGCTACCTTCTCCATAATGAAACTAACGCAATTCACTCATTAATTTCTTAATAAGTCACTACTCACCACCGTCCACCGCTCACTAAAAATGTCTACCTCCGTCACCACCGCCGCTTTCCACCTTCCCATCATCTCCCTCTTCATCCTCTCGCTTCAAGGTCACAGCTACCATGACCTTGAAGTCATAAGAGCGGCCCGTTCCGGGGTTTTACGTGCCGCGGAATGGGCGCGAAGTTTTAACAATGAGCTTCATCAGGAATCACCCGCCGCCGACAATGTCTCTACTGCCGTGAGCGACTGCGTCAAGCTGTACGAAAGCGCCGAGGAACGGCTCGGCTCGGCGGGGGACAACTACGTTGTTGACCCTAACGATGCGATCACCTGGCTGAGTGCGGCTATGTCGAGCCACCGGAGCTGTGTGGATGGTTTGGAGGAGAAGGGGTTGCCGGCGAACCCTCATGATTTATCGTCCCGGAACTTGACCTTGTCGCTTAAGCAAGCCTTGGCTATGTATGCGCGTAAAAGAAACACAAAATCGACTACACCAGGTGGCAATTACTACGTAATTACTTACCTCACTCACGGTATTATTATTAAATTAAACAAAAAAAAAAGGGAAAAGGGGCAAATAAGCCCTCAAACTAATAAAAAAAGTGCAAATAAATCCTTATATAGGAGGCTTTATTCGGCCGTCATCATTTGGGGAGGTTCTCGGAGGAATTTTTTGATGAAATTTTTAATCATCTTCTCCATTAAATCTAGTTTACTCATATCAAATTTCAGCAAAAAATTCAATCAAGAAAACAATCAAATAATTTTCTGAAATATACTGTGTTGTTTAACTACGCAGTTATCTTCAAAAATTCATTTATCTGCCTACCTTCGTGATTGAATTTTTAGCTGAAATTTGGTATGGCTAAACAAGACTTAATGGACAAGATAAAAAAATTCCACAAATGACGACGGCCGGACAGAACCTCCTATATAAGGGCAAATTTGCATTTTTTTGGTTAGTTCGAGAACTTATTTGCCCCTTTTCCCTAAAAAAATCACTCATTATAGGTGTAAAACTTATTAGTACCTCACCTCCCAAATTGTTTTGCAAAGTCAATAATTTTAATCCGTTATTGATAAATCATTCAATTTTAATAATTAAAATTTACATATTCTACATTAAAATCTCTACAAAGTTGCAAAATCCAAATTAAAATTTAATTGATAATTTATACCCTAATTATTAAGTAAATAAAATGAAATTGTTTGAACAAAAAAAATCAAATTTGCAACTCAATTAAATTACTCTAAATAGGATTACAATATAGAAAAAGTGTACAAATAAGACTAACTATAATAAAGAAATACGGAAAGGACTTGCTTAACCCTATTAAAAGTATAAATCTTCACCAATGAATAAGAGTGAATGGGTAATATTTTAGTGATTATCCTACTTATATATTTTTTCTATGTTTTAGTGAGGATTTCTTTTTCTATTTTAAGAAATATTGATAACTATTCTTCTTTTCAAAAACTTTCGAACATAGGGGTGTTTGGATCTGATTCTTAAAACTGCTTCTGCTCCTTTAGGGAGCAGAAGGAGAAGCTGGAGTGTTTGGATAAAAGTCCATAAGTGATTCTGGTACTCAAATTTACTCCTAGAATCAGTTTTTTTAGAAGCTGGGGTGATCAGTTTCTGAAAACTGATTCTGATTCTGCTTCTACTTTAAAAAAGAAGCAGAATCAGTTCCAAACACCCCATAATTTGCTCTGTAGTAAGACCCATTTACCGATATTTTGAAATTTTATCACTGTCCTGCCTGCCTGCCTGTAATATTCGGGTTTCCCGTTTTTGTCATAACTTCAATCACTACAAATTTGCAAATGGCCCAATAAGCTACGGAGTAATAAATATGGCCACCTTGACGACTTCATCACATCCAAATATGTCTTTTCTGGTAGTTTTTTTGTCGGAAGGTGATGGAAAAGTCCTAAAAACAAATAGATTTATTAGAGGATCAAATGTAAGAGCTCAAAGTTGAACTAATAACGGGCACAACAAAACGGGAATAAAATTGTAAATCTCTCTATTTTTTATTGGATTGATCAATTAAATCCTATATTGAGAATTGAATAAAACTCTTTAATCCTAATTTCTAAGTTTGTTTTCTAAGAAAACAAAAAAATTCTAAGTTTGCATCTCTTACTTTGAGCAATTCGAATTTCTTATTTTTAATATATGAATCATACTCCGATCCGTATAACATATGTTGGGAGCTGAGGGATGAAGTATTTATTACAGCTTCTAAAGCTGTATGTGATCGGATGAAGAGTACGTTTTAATTGAATGTTTTGGAGCAGATCGATGGCTTTGAAGGGTATAACATCAATAAATTGAGACAAATATATAGCTAGAATGTTGAAATAAATAGATTGGTTGAGACAATATTATATCATTACAAATATATTTAATGTTCTTTTTTGGTTTTAAATATATTTAATGTTTTTCTCTCATTTTAAAAAACCATAAATTAAATCAGAGTTTTTTATATGCTCAACTTTTTCAATGTTACCTTTACTACAAAAAATTTACGCAAAAAATCGTTGTTAAATCCCTCATCAGTTTTCCCTTTGAAAAAATCTCCGTCAATTTCATGTTTGTTTTGTAGTGCTTGCGGCCAAACCTAATCAAAGCACAACTAATTACTAACTCAACCCTAAAAAAATTATGTGCACAAAGTGTAATGTATCAAAAATATATATACAGAGGGGTCTTAATTATATAGATTTTCGGTATAAAGTGGCAATAGTTGTTTAATTTATTTTTAGTGAGTCAGTCATGGCTTAATTGATTGATTCACTCATATTTTTACCTATAAAGTTATTAACCGCATTCACTTTCTACTAAACAATCATATTATGTGATCTCCTATGAAAAACATAAACTCTTAGCAAAGAATACGTTTTCGTTTCGAAAATTCTGCAAAAGTTGATGTTTCCGGTTTACGGTTTTGTCACGATTTTTTATTTTTGCGTTTCCAGCAACATAGGTCATCTTACTATAATCACATCACATGATATCGATCTACATCCATATACGTAGTATATGATATTTTCTAGCATTTAAAGTACTCCGTATGAATTAAGATCAGAGTTGAATTTTGTCCTTTTAATTTAATTTGCTTCTACTTTTATACACCAAATTAAACCCAATGTTTGTGTTACGTTTATATGTACAAATGACCTGGGCGGCAGTGGTGCGTAAGAAGGCAGGAAGTTCAAGCCAGTATTGGGGGCTCATGGAATCGTGGAACTCAGCATCCTCCACGGCCGACATTGTGGTCGCCCAAGATGGATCCGGCACTTACAACACAATAAATCAGGCAGTCGATGCACTATCCAGAATGGGCAGCAACGGGGAGAAAAGGGTGGTTGTGTACGTCAAACGCGGAGTTTATAACGAGAATGTTGAGATCCATAGGCGAATGAAGAACATAATGTTCGTTGGCGACGGGATGGACAAGACCATAGTTACCGGGAATCGGAACATCCAAGACGGTGCTACCACCATAGGCTCCGCTACATTCCGTGAGTCTAAAACTTTATATGTTGATTTGTATTGTTATTTGTTATATTTAAATTGAGATGACCCAACCAAACTAGCACAATGCACAAACTATTAATCATAGAGATTTCCTCATAAAAAGTTGATTTGATAAGACCAAACTCGTATTAGATTAATACTTCAACATGTCCACTAATCAATCGTGTTAGAAAACTTGAGATGCGGGGATAAAGAGGCTGATCGAAATGGGAATTGAAACTTAAATCATGGGTATATATGCTAAACCCCAATTTGATTTAGTTGACCGTTTGTTTAGGCCATTTTGATAATAGGAGTAGTTCACGATTTTATATATCATTAGATACTAGTATATCAAATTGGTATTGGACAAATACTCTAACATCTATCTAACATTTTGATGTATAGGTGTATTGGGTGATGGGTTTTGGGCACGGGACATGACCTTCGAGAACACGGCCGGGCCACACAAACACCAAGCAGTGGCATTGGCGATCGCCTCGGATCACGCCCTCTTCTATAGATGCAGCATGAAGGGCTACCAAGACACTCTCATGGTCCATTCCTTGAGACAATTTTATCGTGATTGCCACATCTATGGCACAATTGACTTCATATTCGGGGATGCCTCGGCCGTGCTCCAAAATTGTGACATTTTCGTCACGCGGCCCATGGAACATCAATCCAACTTGATAACGGCTCAGGGGAGGTATGACCCGAATGAGAACACAGGGATATCCATCATAAACTCGAGGGTGCGACCAACGCCGGAGTTGGATGGTGTGAAAGGCAGGGTAAAGAGTTACTTGGGGAGGCCTTGGAAGAAGTATTCAAGGACATTGTTCATAAAGAGTGACCTTGATGGGATTATTGATCCAAAGGGTTGGATGGAGTGGAGTGGGAATTATGCACTCTCAACTTTGTATTATGGGGAGTACATGAATACGGGGGCCGGGGCATCCACGGATAGACGGGTTAATTGGGCAGGCTTTCATGTGTTGAAGGCGGCCCAAGAAGCAAGCTCATTTTGTGTGAAGAATTTTATCCAAGGGGATTCTTGGATCCCAGAAAGTGGAGTGCCGTTTGGTTCCGAAATATGATGGCCTGTGGAGAAACTGAGAAAGTATATATTTAGCTAGTTTTCTTACCCTTTGTTTATGTTATCCGATGACTTGTTCTAAGATTTCCCTTGTACATCATCATTACGTTATTTGTATATTATGCACATTAGCTAATGTAGCTAATAATTATTATAATCTCATGTATACATTAGTGAATTAAAACTTTCAGCTAGAAGTAATCAATGAAGGCATATCATCATTAGTAATCAATGAAGGCATGTAATCAATGTCAAGCATTATGAAATGGAATGGGTATATTCAACCAAATTTTCAAAAGCATTATGAAGTGAAATGGGTAGAAGCTGTTGAAAATTTCAAAACATTTTTACTCTTATTTCGTACATTTTTCTATTTCCGATTAGTCGAGATATGGAATGACTAAATAACTAAGCGATATCCCTATGAATTTGGTTAAAATGAGACCATATTTTAAGGAGAGAAATGAGAACAATTCTGAAATAATAATGCGCAACACCATAAATTAGAAAAAGTGCATATCAATTGTTCATTATTTTAACCATAATTGTTCACATTTCAATTGTGTATTATTTTAATCATAAGCGTTCACATGAAACAATAATGCGCAACACCATAAATTAGAAAAAGTGCATATCAATTGTTCATTATTTTAACCATAATTGTTCACATTTCAATTGTGTATTATTTTAATCATAAGCGTTCACATTTCAATTGTGTATTATTTTAATCATAAGCGTGCACCTCCATGAATCACAATGTGCATTACTTTGGACCGCTCTCATTTCTCACGGGAAGAAATTAAATATTTTCATTGCAATCGGGCCCTTGTCCCTATTAATATTATAATACGGAGTAATATATATACTCCATCCACCTTTAAAACTTTGTCAAGTTTAACTAGTACGAGAAATAATAAAGTAAAAATTGAAACAAATTATCAAGAATTGAAAGAAAATAAATTGTCAAAACTAGAAAGGAAACAAACTAAATCAAGATTCCTGGCTTCACTAGCCACCGGAAAGGAAGAATTGATTTGACCAACAATAACCAATAAAAACTCAGCCGAGCAAAATTTCTTCTTTCCACCATTTAAATCGCCGATTTGACCGGCCACCGAAAAGAAGATTCAGTTGAGCATTTTCTTCTTTCCAAAGCGAGGCGGTGGTTCAGGTAGATGGCGAGTAATTGAAGCCTCAAAATAATCAAATTGTAAAAGTTTTGTCAACTATGAATAATAAGAATTCACCAGATCGATTAATTACATTGATAGGACCATAATATACCACACGCTCACCTGAAACAAACAAAACTTTTGATCAATAAAATCAAGGTCATCTTTTAGGAGGTGCAATAGGTGCTTGGCACCGGGGCCCACTCTTGTAGGGGGCCTCCATAAGTTTAGTATGTAGTACGGAGTGTTATTTATATGTTAATTTTTTAGATGTTATGTATTATTCAAGATTCTAAAAATTATATACTTTTAGATTGTCTAATTTGTGTATTTTAAACACTATAAAACATATATTTCATTGAAGTATCTAATCTGTTTATATTTCATTATTAAATTTTGTATTTTTCTTGTATTAGAGGGCCTCAATTCGACATGTGGAACCGGGGCCTCAAAATTCATTAGGCGGCCCTGAATGAAATAATTGGACCAAAACTTTGAAAGTAAAAATTAAGAAAGAGTGAAAGTATGGAAAAATCATTCATTCAATCCTTCTCTGTTTAGGATTGCTAACTTTTTATGTTTTAAACTTTTCAATTTGGAGGGAGTATAATAATTTATAGGGATAAGGGTCAGATAGGGCCTCGAACTTGAAAAAAAATGTCAAATAAGGCCATATTTAGGATGTTCTGTCCGGCCGACGTCATTTGGGGTGGTTCCCGGTGGAATTTTTTGATGAAATTTTTTGAGAATCTTATTCATTAAATCTAGTTTACTCATATCAAATTTGAACTAACAATTCAATCAGGAAGGCATTCAAATGAATTCATGAAGATAACTGCGCTTTTAACGGCCAATAGTGGGCTGGGCTAATGACCCAAAACATGCTCTGCGCAAAACATTTTCTTGTCGCCCCATAACATATCGGCAGCACATCTTCAAACCAAATGTCAAGTGTCAACTGCCAAGCCTCTCTCAAGAACTGCCTGGCCTACCATTCCCACCAACCTCTTCCTGGTTGGTGAATTTTAAAGCTGAAAAAGTAGTGAAATGAAACTAATTCTAACCGGAGACGGGGTTGTTGACAAAAAGCCATCGCCATCATACTTTAGAGCGACTGGTTAAAAGAGCAAGCGCATATCTCCCCGCCAAACCCTCTCCAGTTCACCTCCTTCAAATCTACCTAACTTACCTGCCGATTTCAGTTCGATTGAAGAAAAGCTTCAATCTTTGCGAATTACAGAGACATGGCGAAAGCCAGCACGACGATTCAAGGGTTACGTTTTAATCCCAGCAGCCTCTCCAAACTGCGAACCTCTCCTTCACCTTCGTTCTTCTCCAGGTCAAACAGCCTGAACAATCCAGCTGTTTCTATTAAATTCCCGGAGAAGACCAATAAAGATTCAATTTTTACTGCCACCCGGTCTCCATTACAGGTCCGGGCATCGGTGGCAACCGCTGAGAAAATATCAAAAGCTCCGGAGGAGATAGTTCTTGAACCTATTAAAGATATTTCGGGCACCGTCAAGCTGCCCGGCTCCAAATCACTCTCCAATCGCATCCTCCTCCTTGCTGCTCTTTCTCAGGTATTGACTTGTGAACTTGACTATAACAGTTTTAAGTTCTGAGTATGGCAGAGGATTCTGCGATTTGGACTGGGCTGTATTTGTTGAAAGGTTCCAGCTGTTTGATGATGATGATTAAAGGATTTGATTTACTTATTTTTAATTTCTGTCAATATAATGTCTGGTGCAATTATTACATATTCCCATTTCCCGCAATATATGAACTCAGGGAACAACTGTGGTGGAAAATTTACTGAACAGTGATGATGTCCATTATATGCTTGGTGCCTTGAGAACACTCGGTCTTAGGGTTGAACAAGACAGTGCAATTCAGCAAGCAACTGTAGAAGGTTCCGGCGGTCTCTTCCCTGTCAGTAATGACTCATCAAATGATGAAATTCAACTATTCCTTGGAAACGCCGGAACAGCAATGAGACCTTTGACTGCTGCAGTTGTTGCAGCCGGTGGAAATGCGAGGTTTTTTTTCCCTTGCATCCAATCCTTTTTAGACTTTGTTGATTTTGATAGAAATGCAACACAATTTGGTTCAGTTTGTTAATCACTTTTATCTGTCAATAGGTATGTACTTGACGGAGTTCCTAGGATGAGAGAAAGACCAATTGGTGATCTTGTCATTGGTTTAAAGCAGCTTGGAGCAGATGTTGATTGTTATTTGGGCACCAACTGCCCCCCGGTTCGAGTCATTGGAAAGGGCGGCCTTCCAGGAGGAAAGGTGGGAATTGAAAAATCTGTTAAGAATGTTAGGGATTTTGTGTTTGCCTTCTACTTTAGAAAATACAAAACAAAATCAAATTTGATTAAAAACTTTTGGAGCTTCACATAATTAAAATTTTTGGTCTGTATAGAAACATATGAATCAAATAAGTTCAAAAGAATATGCTAAATTTAATTTTGAGTTTGAGCCAATTAAATAGTTTCCTCCCTATATTCATGACATAGAATTTCCCAGGTTCTAATCGGCCCCTCAGGCTATGTAGGGATGTCTGAAAATGCATATGGAAAGAAAAGAAAATGCTAAGCTTTATGTGTTATTTTCTTATGTTTTGTTCTACTTCAGGAAATGCAGTGGAAAGTGAAATCTTTTTTTACATATGTTTAGATTTCTTAGTATTTATGTAAAACAAATAATAACTAAATAAAATTGAATTTGAATAAATATTAAACTTAAACTAGTTGAGTCTGAACCAATGTTTTAGTTCCTTACCTGCCATATTTGAACCAACATTTCCTTTCTTTTCAAATTCCTGCTATATTTTTTTCCCTGTTATCTTTCCCTGGCATTTTCCATGTTTCAAACAAACCCTTACGGTTCATTATAATGTGCATTTTTCTGCATAGGCTGCTGACAATGCCACGACGTAGTTATTAAGAAAGTTTAGTTCCAGCTAATCTAAAGCATTACATTTACAGGTGAAACTCTCAGGATCAGTCAGCAGCCAATATTTGACTGCTTTACTAATGGCTGCTCCTCTGGCTTTAGGCGATGTGGAGATTGAAATAATTGACAAACTAATTTCAGTTCCATATGTTGAAATGACTATAAAGTTGATGGAGCGGTTTGGGGTTAATGTGCATCATAGTGATAACTGGGACAGTTTTTTTATCCGGGGAGGTCAGAAATACATGTAAGTAGGCTTCATGTTATCCCCTATAATATCTGATTTTGAGAAGTTCATAAGATCAGATTTATGTGTATATATGAAATTTGTCATCAGATCTCCGGGAAATGCTTATGTGGAAGGTGATGCTTCGAGTGCCAGTTACTTCTTAGCTGGTGCAGCTATTACTGGGGGTACCATCACAGTTGAAGGCTGTGGAACAAGCAGTTTACAGGTGTTACTCTCTCTTGTGTTCCTAGCGTACATGTTTTTTTATTGTTTTTTTACCGCATATTCTAAAGAGTAGATTAACCTATTTTGTCCATCAACAATAGACTATGAGTATTGCTCAATTTTGTCCTCTGGGTATCATCAGTGTATTGCTATAATCTGCTGATTTTGCTGAAGTTATGGTTGAACTTCTTAATTATAAAAAAGTTGTATGTAAAATAAGGAAAAGGAAATGCATATAGAAAATAGCTAAAAGCCTAAAATAGTCATCTTTAACAAAAAAAATACCTCTAGCCTTACTTTTATTCATCATTAACAAATTTGATGGATGAAACAAAACAAAAATTGCTAAAGAAGTCTTGAGTGATAAGGCTAATAAGTGGAAAAACAAGTTCACCAAACAAGCACTTATATTTGCATGCATATTTCTTTCAGCAGAAATGTCGTAAATAGACTAAAACATAACACATTAATGC